TATGCTAAACCACGTTCTTAGCCCCTTCCGTGACTCGCCGCTCAGCATGGGGCTCACTGCGTGGTTCCGGCATGATGAAGATGAACAGGCGCCTGGCCCGTGCCCGTTCACCCTGATGTACGGCACAACCTTGTGGGAGGTGTGCAGCCGCGACGACGCAATCAACGCGTTGTTCAACAACGCCATGGCCGCAGATAGCCACTTCCTGATGCAGATTGTCTTGAGGGAGTTCGGCGAGGTCTTCCATGGGATAGACTCGTTGGTCGACGTCGCCGGCGGGGTTGGGGGAGCCGCCATGGCCATTGCGGCGGCGTTTCCGTGTTTGAAGTGTACCGTACTGGACCTCCCTCACGTTGTCGCTAAGGCTCCTTCCAGTTCTATTGGCAACGTGCAGTTTGTTGGGGGTGACATGTTTGAGAGCATTCCACCAGCAAATGTTGTCTTCCTCAAGGTATGTCGTCATGTAGTTATATATGTTTCTTTTCTACTATCTTGTATGCCTATACTGCTAAAATTCAATTTGCGAGTTCAAATACTCATTCAACGAACTGCCCATTGAATTGGTTTTGAATTTTGGCCGGCCCTGGTAACCGTTAATACAACATATAGGTTTAAGTATATTGCTAGACTTAAGGTGTCATAAATCTTTCAAAACCTAGAGACAGTTGAGACTTGAGAGTGAAAGTTGGCAACAAGGACGGTTGGATTTCAGATCAAATGATTCATAGGATAGATGAAATGGAGCTTCTAAATCGTGTTAGAACAGTAGGCACACACTTAGCTTCTAAATACGTCAAAGGGGCCTACTGTTTGAATTGAAAGAACAACAAATTGGAAGGACAAATGTTTAATTTGTTCATGTGAAACTATCGAGACATAATGCTCAACAATTGGCTTATTATTGCTTTTTTCAGTGGATTTTGCATGACTGGAGCGATGACGAGTGTATCAAGATATTAAAGAATTGCAAGCAAGCTATCCCTTCTAGAGATGCAGGAGGAAAGATAATAATCATTGATATTGTGGTTGGGTCTGAGTCATCAGACACCAAGCTTCTGGAGACGCAAGTAATCTATGATCTCCATCTCATGAAAATTGGTGGGGTTGAACGAGATGAGCAAGAGTGGAAGAAAATATTCCTCGAAGCTGGATTTAAGGACTACAAAATTATGCCGGTTTTAGGCCTCAGATCGATCATTGAGCTATATCCATGAATGCTCAGCAAACAAGTCTGCTAGAGAAATAAAAGCATATGGCATGTCAGAGTGTTCTAGTGAATTCAATTTATGTTGTTGGGAATGGTGAAATTTCAGTTTGACCCTGTCTGAATGTTACTGTTTGAATTCAATAAATTTCCTTTTTTATGTTTGTTATTCAAACATGTGTCCTTCAAAACATGTAAACACCAAAACTTGTGGAACTTGTTAGTTATAAGCCCTAATTCTAAGTTTGGTGTTCATATGAGTTCATTTTATGTTATATTTGGCGGTTAAAATTGGGAGTTAAGGTCCGCCAACAAGCACAAAACTAACAATCCCATGCACCGCATGGTCAACCCTAGTCCAGTCAACATCAGCGGCAAGCAGGACCGTTTGGCGGTGCCTGGGAGGCGTGCTTCGTCATCGATAACACTCAAGTATGTTATCACGAATGCCGTTTCCGAGGCCCGCAAGAAGCAGGCCTACCAAGACATGTTCGATAGATTATGAATAGCCCCTGTCAGAACCATGGCTTCCCCATGACCCACCTCGCCAAAGATTGCATCGCCTATAGGAAGCATATCACTCAGGAAGATGAGATGCAAGCGGCGCAAGACGGGTACTGGGGAGATCGTGATGATGATGAGGGTGACAACGCAGCCTCCGAGTATACGATGCTCATATTCGGTGGCCCCCAAGCTTATCAAGATCGAAGACTCCAGAAGCTGACCCACAGGCAGGTCATGTGGCCACCCCAGCTGTACCACTGCACTTGTGGTGGTCCGAGCAGCCGATTACCTTCGATCGCAGCGATCATCCGTATCGGGTGGTCGAAGCCGGACGATTCCCCCTGGTGGTCAGCCCTGTCATCGAGACTGTGAGGATGACGAAGATCCTCATGGATGGAGGCAGCGGCAACAACATCCTTTACAAGGATGCGTTCGACAAGCTCAATGTGGACATAAGGAAGCTGCATGCGTCGCACTCCCCCTTCCACGGCATTGTCCCCGGGCGGCGCGTCATGCCCCTAGGCACAATAGATCTCTCTGTAACATTCGGGGACGTGGTACACTACCAGAAGGAGATACTCTTCTTTGAAGTTGTTGATTTCTAGGGACCCTAAAGCGCCATATTCGGGAGGCCGTGTTACGCCAAGTTCATGGTGGTTCCGAATTACGCCTACCTCAAGCTAAAAATGCCAGGCCACGCAGCGTCATAACGTTATTTGGAAATTTCCAGAACACCTACCAGTGCGAGAGGGATCCCGTCGAATACGCGGAGGCTAATGCCCTAGATCTGGGGCCAAGAGGCAGGATTCGCTCGGGGGCTTCAGGTTACCCCTGCTCGCTGCCCGAGAAGAAGCTCATGCTGATGGCCCCAAGGCAACCGTCTCCCACCGCCCTCGATCCCTCAGCATCAACTCAATCCGCCACTGGCCCCTACTCCCAAAGACCACACCAAGCAAGCACAGGACGAAGGCCTCATCAACAATGGGAAGAACCCCATCGGGTCTTGAGGAGGCGACCAATGATTTCCAGCTATGTTAGGTTCATTTTTATTTTTCAGTCTGTATGGTTATCGTTTCAATTCTGCAAAACATTTCATTGTCACATGAATAAATTGCGAACTCGCGAGTACCTTGCAGAGAACCTCTCTAGGATACTCGGGGGCTAGCTTTTGCAGTCGTTCTTTTGAGATTGTCCCCATCCTATGTAACAGAAAGTACCCTTTATGATAATGCCATTGGCATGCTACAAATTTACCATCCATCTCTCGTAAATAAAAGCAGCAGGGCATGTGCTATCTAATTATACATCGATCGTCAGCGTTGTCAGCGATGAGAAAGTATCCCTTCTGAATCTTGACCAGATGCTTTTGTTCCAAGTCGGCTTATACATACAGGCTCGTTCAGTCTTATGGTGCTAGTTGTCGTCCATGGATTCTTCCTCCTCGGGATGTATGTACTGCTTCATGTATTCTTCCGCGATAGTCTCCTTCAGCAAAGTTAACCTCTGGATGATCACTGGGTCACACATCTTTCTCGCATCCATAAAATCCGTCTCCTTGTTGAGATGGTATGAATCGAGCAGCATTTTGATCCATTTGTGGAGTTCGTTGGGAGTTCTGCATGGAAAGACCGGATTATGCCAATGCATTGAAAGTATCTTTACTATCTTATCACAACCTTATCACACACACACACACACAAAACGCTCAAAAGTAAAATGGCACCCATTTATTGGGCAGCCAACCACCTGCTTTCTAACAAGACGAATGCACAGTCTATTCTGGCCTTCAAAGTTCAGCCTCCCTTTGAACTACGAACATTTGTTCCACATTGCAAATCCAATGCATCAACATAAAAAGACAATGTTCCCATAACCATTTAACATGCATAGTTTACATGGACACACGAGAAACTGAAAATAATAGTTAAGCACCAAGGCAGTCCCAAACATTAACTAGTTGAGCTACACAAAATCGGAAAAGGGCAGCAGCAATTGTGAGCTATCATTTTCTTAGGTAAAATGTTATAATTTCCTCATTAAAACCCTTTCCAAAGATATTACTCTGATGCCAAACTTTTGCGGTAACACATAAGGAACTCAATAAGCTATAATGTTATTAAAGCATTTAGATAACAGAATTACCCGTACAGATTCATGCAGCCAATTTTATATTATACATTCTCATTAAGAATTGACTATCTCATGACATAATGATTGGACAATCCAGCTTAACACTTGATAACATTAGCTCACAGTTAAGTGGAGCATGTGACCAGAAAAAAAAAACTTAATTTTGAGGATAAACTAATCAAATTCCCCATGGATCAATCCAATCAACTCAAATAGTAGCAAAGAGTCTACATAACCTCATGCTGTTTGTCTACTTAACCCCCTTAACTATGAGCCAGGTATCGAGCATCCCGAAATATTTGAACCCTCAAAATAACAAGTAGGTGGTTTTGATCATGTGGCACATTACACTCATTGGTGTGGTAGTGACTTAGTGAATGAGATGTTGATCGTCCTCATCAGAAAAAAAAAACTTGACCTGCGGGGGTAAGACGGCCCCCGGGCAATGCCTGGTAGAGAAGATTTCTCACGCAGATCAAGAAAACCCCCGAACCTCCGCCCCTGCACCCTTACACGGGACCGTTCACCATGTGAGCTGGTTCGGAACCACTGTGCTTTGAGTGAGTCGGACGAGGGGGTTTTTTTACCCAGGCCACGTAAATCCGCTCCCACTGGGAGTCGAACCCGGGTCACTGGGGTGCCATCCGGCCGCTCTAGCCATTCGGCCAAGAGTCCGTTGGCTGATCGTCCTCATCAGACAGAGAGATGTTGTCATTGTCTTGGCTGCACAGAAAGAAGGATGTGGTTTGGCGACGCTTTCACATGATTTGATCTCCTTGGAGTTAGCGTATTTCTCAGCCTACGTTGACATGGTGGTCGTTAGTGGTGGAGAGAGGTGAAGGGAGTAAAGAGATGGAGAGAGTAAGACACTGAAGTGTGGGTCTAGAGTGATGTGGCATATGGTGTAGTTAAGTTTGTCTATGCCGGCATGCCATATCAGTAAAACCGCCCTCCAAAGTCCAAAAGGAAGTTATTTTGACAATTTTTGAGAAGTTAGTTGTCAAACATCAATTCCTGAGGGGATTATGTAGACTTATTCCTAAGGAAAATAAGGGAACAAGAACAGCTACATGTCTCCGACAAAACTGATATGCCACATCATGAAGACTTGCAATAATAAAATCAATAGAGACAACAAATAAATATCTTTGTTGAAAAAATCTTACGTGTAAAGAGCATCTTCGTCCTTGGCTTCACGCTCATCTCCGGGAGAGAAAGCAGTTGCAAGAGCACCAAATCTCTCTTCAGGTTCTTCAATATTCAGCAAATACTTCAGAAGCTTCATCTCCGGAGGTGAGATGCTCTTGAGGCTTTCTTTTGTAGTTGTATAAATAACATTATGTCCTTGACCTATGCCATGTATATGAATCAGCAAATACTATCTACAATGTTTAGGCACTAGTTTTATAATAGTGTCATTTGCCTATTCAAAATATTAGCCAATGTTACTTACTTCACCATACAACTAGTAAGTACCAAAAAGGTATGTGGTTTTATACAACATGTTGGTGATTCAGTTTCAAATATGAATTGGAAATAGAATCCACTTAGGTCTTGTTTGGCAGAGATCTAGCTCCAAGAATTCTTAGAGCTGAGTACTCCAAGAATTCTTAGAGCTGAGTACTCCAAGCTTCAGAAATCTGTGGAGTTGGAGTTGGGTTTTCCTAGATCCAGACTCCAGGAATGTGGAGTTGGAGCTATGGGTACAGGGTACACCTGAATTGTTTGATTAAGCTGCTTTCTTTCCACTCTAGAAAAAAAATAGTCTCAAAGTTCTTGATTTTAGAATACAAACTGAGCTGTGCCAAACAACTCATTCAGTATCATGTAAGCTAGTTTGTTACATTTGTACACATGTAAAAGGCAAAGGTAGGCTTGAGTTAATCATAATATCCTAGATGTGCATTATATGAATAGTAGTGATCTAGCACACATATTACAATGATGCATGGAAAAACATAGTAGATGTACCAGAAAAATAATCCTGGCACTGAAGACAACAATTTTATTTAGTTAAAAAGTTGTGGAGGATTATTAGAGTCATCTAGATTAACTTTACCATGATATTTGCTACACCTAGTCTTGTCTACATTTTTACGAAGGCTCACTAAACCCTAATAAGCATTATGACGAATTATAAGTTTTCAACTTCCATAACAGACAATAGAAATCATTAAACATTTGCCTATTCAAGATTTACATAAAAAAAATATATCAAAGAGAATATAAAGGAAAAATGAAACTTTGTGCAAATTTACCAAACAATGAAGCCGGGTGGTATTACATCGACTCTCAGGATACCAAAATGCTATGTTAGATTTCTTATACATATATACCAAATTTTCATTACTTAATGCCTGATTTCTGCTGAAGCACAAATTGACAAGATGGTTATATTTCTAGCCTCGATGGTCTATGTTGTTTGATAGTACCACAGTGGGCCAATCAACACGATATCGATATCTCATAATGGGTTGAGTGTAACACTGTACCAACAACCCAGGTGGACCAGAATGTAGCAAGAAATCATGCTTAAACACAGGGAAACTCATACAACTTTGTTTATATTGCACTAAGACTAACCTTATCATTCATAGTTGTAGATTCTTTTGCAGCAGTCCAAGCTCTGTTAATGAGAAGAATTAGAGATGAATCAAGTTCTTTAGCCTTGGCTAAGCTTTTGATCTTGTCACAAGCACCATTTAGTGAAGAGGAATTCAGTATATCATCAAACTTCAACTGAGCAGATTCGATATCCAACTGTTCCAGTGTGCAATCATATGCATGAATTGCAGATAAGCATTTGGCCCCAAGCCTGACTATTCCTGCATAATATTGAGAACTAATCAGCTCATAATATAAAGTACAATATTCAGAACAATAACTAAAAGTAAAGTAGATACATTTGCCTGCCAATTCACACGACAAGAATTTGGTACTAACCAGTAACCACATGCTCATTACAATATGTTGACCTTGTCAACCAACCCAGATGAAGCAACAAACAAGACTAAATACAGACAATCTAGTGATACTTCTATGTTCTGCATGTAACATTTTTGTTCTTCTGCAATTTTGGCTAACCAGAAATCATGATCCATGTGCTCAGGAAACAAAGAATCAAGTTCTCAAATTTGATCTGTTTCAATAACCTTAATATGATGTGATTATATGTTAGCGGTTAATCACCTTGGTATGAATCGAGTAATAAAGTGCGATACGTGAGTAAAAATTGATAGAAGGTTGGTAGTTACCATCTCGCTCATCAAGGCCATTATAAGCATTCACAATGAAGTTAAGATGGCGGAAGAACTCCCCAGTGAAATCCTTCCTTTGTCTTGCAACAATAGCATTAATATCAGCAGGGTTCTCTCTGAGCTCAGTGAAGAGTTCCATGTGCTTCTCTATTTCATCATCTATCTGAATTAAAAACATGAACCATATTCACATAATTATGAGAACATCTGGATATTTTTTGTTTTGATTATAGTGCACCTAATCTAACAATAATATCTTGTAATCTTAATACATGGAGTTCTTAAGGTTGATGTGACAAAAATTATACCAGCAACTGTGAAAACTCACTTAAATTGGTGATTGTACGTAAGGAGAACAGATAAGGACTTACCTTCTTAACTTTTCTAGCAAGTACAACCAACTTTTGTTTCAATGAAGGATCAGTCTCCATATCTATGCGCACTTGACAGCGCTTGTAGAAGTGCCCCCTATACCTTCTCCACTCCTCTCTAAACACCAATAACTTTCTCCAGTCCTTTGTTTCTGGTTTCGTATACATGAAGAACTCAATGAATTTGTCGCAGATTTCGGTCATTGTGTACCCCATTGCAACTTCGGCCTCAGTTTGGTCTTTCGCATTAGCAATGGTAGGACTAGCTACACAACCTGTAATTAAATGTAGTTCATGATGTAGGACATATTTTTCAAAGTTATATAATGTAAGCATGAGCGTCTGGAGCATACACACATAGAGAAAGGGGTATAATCCAACTCAATAAAGGTCCCCTTAACAAGCATAGATTAGTCATAAGAAGAAAAAAACAATTGAATTGCAGTAAGACCATTCCCTAAAAGGAATTTTCAATAAGAAAATACTCTATTATTTTGCAGTTCTGATTTCAATCACATAACCCAAATCCACAATTTCCTAATATATGGAAAGAAGTTCATTGACATATCCACCCAGGTAATCTTATCTTACTGTTACCAGATGTGGGCTCTAGATCAAAATTTGCACTTTCCATTGTCTAAAAAATGTTCAAACTTTGCAAGGCTCGGGTTCCATCTTTTATGATCAATCGAAGCAGGCAGTTAATTTTTTTAGAATTTTCACTAAAGGAATATCGCAATTGGCCTAGGAAACAAAAATACTTGTGCCTCATAACTGAATCCCTTCAGTGCTCAGCAACATCCAATGGGGCATTAGGGCGATTCATCGAACACCTCTAAGGCAACACAAACGTGGTATAACCTATCCCTAGTTCCTCGCCCCAAGTTGCTTCTAAGTTCTCTGGCCCTGTTCGAATTGACTAAAAAAAATCTAGCAAATACAAACACCTCAGCTTATGGTCCTTTTTTTTAAATAAAGAGCTTATAGTCCATTTTGAACTATTAAACCACCCATAAGCATATAAAAAGCTATTAGAGCTGAATTCGGGGGGGGGGGGCGAGGAATGTATTTGTGCCTTACGTCGTGGTGGTGGAGCTGCGGCGAGGCGGCTGCACTGGGTCGACTGGGGAATGGGTACGGAGGCGGAGGAGGGAAAGAGGGACTGCGACGGGGCGGCGACCGTTGACGCAGGCGAGGGTCGGGGAGCGTGGCAGAGGACGCCCGGGTTCGTCGCCATCGGTGGCAGCGTGGTGAGAGGAACCAACTGGAGGAGCGGTGGTGGACTGCGGGTTTAGGAGGTTTATCGTTTGCCTCGCCAAGCTCGAGCAGCAACAGTTGGACCCGCGGCCCGGCCGAGGCGTCGTGCCTTGCCGCCCGCGAGGTGGACGCCGGGACCGCTGCCTTGCCGGGTTCGAGTCGTCTGTCGCTGCGTGGGACACCGGAGGCGCAGCTCGCCTCGCCGTCGGCCCGTGGTGGTGAACGGTTTTTTTTTTAAACTAGAACGGATAAATCGTGGGAACGGACAAAGGGGCTGTTCGGGATTTTTGTCCATTTTCTTAGCATTCTATTCCATTTCGCAGAAAATTGGTTTATACTCATTTGTTTCGAAAGGAAAACGTTGTTTATTCGCTGAAAAGTACTGCTGAAGTAGCGCAGACGAACAAGTTGAAACTCGTATAAGAATGAATTCTATTCTGTTTCCCTGAAATTTGGCTTACGTTGATTTGTCATGAGAGAAAAATAATATTCATTCGCTGAAAAGTACTGCTGAAATAGTGCAGACGAACAAGTTATAACTCGTATAAGAATGAATTATGATTCCAGGTAAGTGGGTCTCATACAAGATATAAAGAAGATGTTGGTCGAGTAATACTGAAAAAAAATTTATATATAGATATAAAGCTCGTGGCCCCACTTAAATTTTGTTTGAGTTTTGATTTTGGCTTCATTTGCAAAACGATAATGATAAGTCACAGTCGTCCATCCGTGACTCTCGTCCGGACGCAACTCCGTAGGAGCAGGCCCATATTTTCATTTCTCTCATAAACATAAAAATGAATCCCTACTCGCTCATCCTTATCCCGGCGCCCGACGCAACAGCGTGCCCACTCATTCCTCCACGCCTCTTCCCCAACCGCGAGCTCGTCGGCTGCCCGTGCCCTACCGCCCTGCACCCCATCGCCGGCCACACCGCACGCCCGTCCTAGACACTTGTGCCGCTCGCTCCCTAGCCGTCCGTCCATCCGTTTCCCATCGCCGTCATGCACGCCGCTGACCCCACCATGACCGCTGGGGCGCATGTGCCGTGGCACTTCAAGTCTTCTCCGACCGAGCCAGGGCACCCACGAGCTTGGGCGGTGATGGTGGTGCTCGCGCGCCATGGCTCACCACCGGTCCAACCCCGATGGCCAGATTCGACCGGTCCGGCCTTCTCCTCCCCTATGTTGCATATGTATGTTTCAAGTGTTTCAGGCGTTTTAGATGTATTTTGCAATTGTGTTATCTTGATATTGCAAAAGTAGATCGAGGGGGGTTGCACATGTTGCAAGTGTTTCGGAGGCATGTTGCAAGCATTTGTTTAAAATGTTTTATCTATTTCCACACGTATGTTACAATCGTTTTAAATCTGGATGTTACATATGTTGTAATAGTATATTCCAAATGTTTTAGTTCTTTCAATCTTATGTTGCAGCAAGTGGTTTCATGTTGCAAGTGTTTTTTAGATGTTTCATATGCTTCACACACATGTTGTAAGAGTATGTTCAAAATGTTTGATCGGATTTCAGTCTTATGTTGCATTCATGTTGCAAGTGTTTTATGTTGTTCGGCTGGGGGCGAACCGGGAGCCCGCGAACGGGGCACGCAGTGCGCCAAGGGCAGGGCCGGAGCCAAGAAGTTGATTTTTTGAATGTTAGGGGGCCAACAACTTTGAATTTTCAAATTTGATTTAAAATTTAAAAAAAATAGTGAAAATTTTACATTCATAAGGGCCTAGGCCCCTGCCCACCCCTCTTGTCTCCGCCCCTAGCCAGGGGGGCTGATAGAAAGGGGCACTAGGGGCTGACGAATCGGGGTGCTGCAGGTCGGGGCATGTCTGGGGGCGTGCTCATCCTCAGTCGTTCATCACGGCTTCTGTGTGTCGCTCACGCTCAGAGCTAGAGAGAGAGAGGAGGGGGTTAGCGGAAGGACCAGTAGGCACAGGACTGGACAGAGTGCACTCGTGGGTAGGTGAAGGCGGACAGGACTGATTGCACGAGCGGTACGTCCGGGCTTACAGGCACTATAGCCATCGCCCTTTGCAAAATCCAGAAAATGAAAACCGTATCTTTTTCTTTTATGCTCTTCTCGCCCAACCGGACAGACGGCCCAGTCACAGCCCACACTCTCGCTCTATCACATCCGCGCACAGCAGCTGCTTCGCGGCAGCCCTGTTCCGGCCCGCTCTCTATGAGGTTTCTTCTTCTTTTTGTTTTTTTTTGTCACGCGTGATGACAACGCACGGGCACACAAAGCTTCACCACAGGTGGCACTGACTCTTTTTTGCTTCTCCCTCCATCCTTGTCACCTTGTGGATGCTCGCTAGCTCCACCACCATCAACCCCGAATCTGAACACCACTTCACCACGGAATGACGAGCGCCGACCCGACCGTCGTCTTGGTTCCAATCTGGGGCGTCGGCCACTTCGTCCCAATGATCGAGGCTGGCAAGCGGCTGCTCGCGCGCAGCAGCCGCCCGCTCACGCTCACCGTGCTCATCATGCCGGCGCCAACGGAGAAGCACGCGTCCGAGATCGCCGAGCACATCCGCGAGGTGGAGACGGACTTCGCCGGCCTCGGCCTCGCCATCCGCTTCCACCACCTCCCGGCAACCGAGCCCTCGGACGTGGCGGCCTACTCGGGCCCTGAGGAGTTCATCTCCCTCAACGTGCAGCCATACGTGCCCTGCTTCTAGGCCCCGTTTGGATCGCTGAAACTTGATTGAATTTGCTGAAAACACTAACTTGATTGAATTGGCTGAAAACACTGTTCTGGTTGAATTGCTGTGAGAGAAAAACACTGTTCCGGTTGAAAAAACAAGCTGAATAGTGCGGATTATAAGGTAAGCCGAACGGGGCCTCCAATATGCAGACACGAGCGCACAGCTGTGTGTAGGCGCATTAGGATGCAGGGGTAAGTTTACAAGCGCATCAGTTGCATGCAAGACGTGCAGGCGCAGAGTTGCGTGCAGGGGCAGGCTTTTGTTTTGAAAAGGCAGGGCAGGCGCAGCAGGCGGGGCGGGTACGGGCGTTCGGACGTGTCCTCGCGCCTGACGTCAAGGCGCTAGTCGTTCTGTTATAGTTTTAGGAAAAATTTGCTACAGGACACCGTTAAAATGCGTAATATGCTGATGGACACCGTCTAGAACGGAATTTGCCCAACACCATTACAAAATCGTATCCATTTGCCATAACATATGGCGTCTATTATTTTATTCATTTCTCAGGATTCAAGGGAGAGAAGGTGGGGGAAATATTGTTTATACCCTTGTCTTCAACCTCCGGCTCTTCACTGATATTTGCTCAAAATCATTGAAGTCAAGGAAGAGATTGCTAAGGGAAACAATTCTTCACCGGTGTTTAGTTGTTGGATTAGTTAGAAGGGAAACATTTTTGAGCAATTAACTAAATCTAATTAAAAATAAGGCATAGGAGCACCTTTGTTGCACTCATGCTGGTGCATAGTACTTTTTTTAGTTTTTTTAGCAGAATACACCTTTATTATTCTTCACAATAAGTACAGACGCCATCAGACGGAAATACAAAACAAACATGTCTCCCTAAATTAGCATAAATACAACTCCTAGCAAGATTATGAGCATCCACATTTGATCGTCTCGCCTCATGGACGAACTCGACAAATATAAAATCATTCGATCTAGCTCTAATTTTCTGGACAATGTACCCATAAGAGCCCATATTCCCTTCACGTATGCTTGCGACAACTCCAGCATTGTCACATGCCACTCTTAAGTCCTGAAGTAGAAAACCGCTAGCAAGAGCCAGGCCTTCTTTACATGATATCGCCTCCACTGTCTCCGGCTCCATGCTTCCTTCCATCACTACTGCCGAGGCCCCAATAAGTGTCCAACAAAGTTGCATGCAACAGCCGCAGCAACAACAGTTCATGAGTTCTTAGCCAAGGCTGCATCAACGTTAATCTTCACTAGCCCCGCCGGGGGAGGAATCCAGCGAGTATTGCTTCTGTGAATAACGGGTCGATCCTTCACTTTTGGTTGCACCAATTGGAGATCAGCCACAAAACTAGTGACAAAATTATGAGTCGAGAGCGGGCTTTGATAAATATCTTCATGAATAGCTTTCCTTCTAGCATACCAAATGGCCCGGATTAGGTCCTCATGCTTCAGGATTTGCATCACTACTGCCAACCAACCCCCTGCATCCTAATCCTCAATATGACAAATGTGCTCAGTTATCTCATCCTTCTCCAGCGCCCAGACACAGCGAGCCATATTACACTCAAGAAGAGAGTGCCGCCATGAATCTCTAGCGCCACAGATGGAGCACGCACTGCTATCGGACATGTTCCTATGGAGAAGAACATCTTTTGATGGGAGAGAACACCTAGCAAGTCTCCACAAAAACACCTGCACTTTGGAGGGAACTTTGATTCCCCACAACATAGACCACTCCTTCTCCACAGCCTGTTTGTCTGAGGCACCTGCCCATCCAGCTAGAGACTTACGGTGTGCAAGCATTCTATATGCCGAATGGACCGAGAAGAGACCACCCTTCTCAAAGTGCCAAGCCCAAAAATCATTTTGTCACCTTGTACTAAGTGGGGTACTTGTGATCACAGTCACATCCGCCGGTGTAAAGAATTCCATCAGCTTCTCCTGATCCCAGGACGCCGATGTTGAATCTATGAGTTCACTGACCAATTGAGGAGGGTTAGCCCGATTGCTGGGAACCGGCATCCTCAGTCCCACCGAGGTAGCCAATCCATCGACCAAATGCTGGTCGTTTCTCCTGTCCCTATCCTCCTTATCAGGCCTCCCTTCAACACCTCTCAACCTTCAAGAATTGAGCGCCAAATACGAGAGGGTGATGATCCGATCTCTGCTGCCAGAAAGTCTCTATCTAGGAAGTGGACCGATTTTAACACCTTGGCGCTCAGCGAACTACCATCCTGTAAAATCCTCCACACTTGTTTTGCTGAGAGTGCAAGGTTGAACAACTCCATATCTCTAAAACCAAGACCACCGAGGCCCTTTGGTTGAGTCATGTCACCCCACGCCACCCAACATGTCTTTCCGCTTACCATCTTTGCATCCCCACCAAAATTTGCGCAACAAACCATCTATATGTTGACACAGTCCGCGGGGCAATTTGAAGCAAGACATGGAGAATGTTGGAATAGCTTGAGCAACTGATTTGATGAGAACCTCCTTCCCACCGGCCGAAAGGCATTGATCCATCTATCCTTGAACTATGTCCCAAACCCGATCCTTTAAATATTTGAAAGCTCCATTTATCGATGAGCTCACATCCGATGGCATGCCTAAATATTTCTCCGTCAATGTTTCAGTTTGCACCTCAAGAATATCCTTGATCTCTTCCCTCAAGCTTTGGCCGCAACACTTAGCAAAGTGGATTGATGATTTTTCCATATTAATTTGCTGGCCTGAAGCTTGACAGTAAATGCTCAACACATCCTTCACCGCCCGAGCAGTCACCCCATATGCCTTGAAGAATAGCAAGCTATCATCTGCAAAGAGTAGGTGGTTAACCGTCAGAGCTGACGGTGCCCCCCTAATGCCATTGAGCGCTGATGATTGATTCCTTGATTTGAAGAGGCACGAAGGCCCTCTGCTGCTAACAAGAAAAGATAGGGTGAGGTTGGGTCGTCTTGTCTAATTCCTCGTGTCGGCACAAAAGATTCCAAGCAGTCACCATTGAGCAGAACTGAGAACGAAACTGACGTGACCAGCTTCGTAATCATCTCCACCCAAATATGAGGAAAACCCAGCCAAAGCATAATTGCTCTCAAGTATGGCCACTCGACCCTGTCATACGCCTTCACATGTCCAACTTGAGTGCACAACGGCTTTGATCCCTAGCCCACTTTTTTCATAAAGTGTAAACACTCATATGCAATGATTATATTGTCTGTGATCATCCGGCCAGGTACAAAGGCCGATTGCTCTTTTGAGATTATCTCAGGTAAGATCACCTTCAGTCTATTTGCCACAGCCTTGGATGCGATTTTATAAATTACATTGCATAGACTGATTGGACTTAGATCATGCGGATTATCAACTTTCGGTATCAACACTAAGATCGTGTCGTTGATCAACTTAGGATCATCATCCCCTCGCGATATCCACAGTACTGCCGAGGTCACCTGTGTTCCACACAATTTCCAGTGACGTTGCTGGGAAACCATCTGGTCTCGGGGGTAAGTTTTGCAGAATCCAGAAAATGAAAACTCTTTCCTTTTCTTTTCTGCTCTTTTTGCCCAACCGAACAGGCGGCCCAGCCGCAGCCCACACTCTTCCGCCCGCAGCAGCCGCTTCGCGGCCTGTTGTCAGCCCGCTCTATATGAAACTTTTTTTTGTCACCCGTGACATTGACAACGCACTGGCACATAAGCTTCGCCAAACCTGGCAGCAACGCGCAGTGCGGTCTCGGAGCGTGAATGCATTGACTGACGCGCCAGGGCCCCACTTTGTTTCGTCGCGACAGTGTAAGCAAGGTGACAAGAATCGCGGGATTCCAGGCCCATTCTCTCTTTCCCGTCTCTACTCCTCACTCTTTCCTCGTCACTCCCCGTCCGCTCCTCGCTCGTCGTCTTTCCTTCCGTTCCACCCCGAATCCGAACCGAACACCACCACGGCATGACGAGCGCCGACCCGACCGTCGTCTTGGTTCCCGTCTGGGGCGTCGGCCACTTCGTGCCCATGATCGAGGCCGGCAAGCGGCTGCTCGCGCGCAGCAGCCGCCCGCTCTCGCTCACCGTGCTCATCCTGCCGGCGCCGACGGAGAAGCGCGCGTCCGAGATCGCTGACCACATCCGCGAGGTGGAGAAGGAGTCCGCCGGCCTCGGCCTCGCCATCCGCTTCCACCACGTCCCGGCAGCCGAGCCCCCGCCCGTGGCCACCTACTCGGGCCCTGAGGAGTTCATCTCCCTCAACATGCAGCCGTACGTACCCCACGTGAGGGCGGCCGTGTCCGGCCTGGCGTGCCCCGTGGCCGCGCTCGTGGTGGACATCTTCTGCACGCCGCTGCTCGACGCGGCGCACGGCCTCGGGGTGCCCGCCTACGTGTACCTCATATGCAGCGCGGCCATGTGCGCGCTCCTGCTGCGCTCCCCGGCGCTCGACGAGGAGGCCGCCGCCGCCGGCGACGTCGAGTTCGAGGAGATGGACGGCGGTGCGGTGCACGTGCCGGGGCTCCCGCCGGTGCCCGCGTCCTGCCTCCCGTCGGGACTGGTGGACAGGAAGGTCCCGACGTACAGGTGGTTCCTGTACAACGGCAGGCGCTACCCGGAAGCCGCCGGCATCATCGTCAACACCGTCGCCGAGCTCGAGCCACACGTGCTCGCGGCCATCGCTGACGGCCGGTGCACGCGCGGGAACCGCGCTCCGACGGTGTACGCCGTCGGGCCGGTCCTCGCCGCAACCATTACTGCTCCGCCGCCCGCGGACGCGGGGCAGCAACAGGAAGAACACGAGTGCGTGCGGTGGCTCGACACGCAGCCGCCAGCGTCCGTGCTGTTCCTCTGCTTCGGGAGCGCGCGGTTCTTCACCGCGCGGCAGGCACACGAGACCGCGCACGCCCTGGACCGCAGCGGCCACCGCTTCCTGTGGGTGCTGCGCGGGCCGCCAGAGCACGGGACGAAGCTGTCCTCGGACGGGGACCTGGCCGAGCTGCTCCCGCCGGGGTTCTCGGAGAA